CCACGTTTGTTATTGCCCTTAATAGAACATTTAATAACTTCTATAAAGTAAAAAGTGAGTTGGTGGCAAACTGCAGGATTACTGAAATTAATCTTTTTTATTTTTTTTTCATCGATTCTGTTAAGAAAAAATATGTCTTCCAACAAGCTATCGATATTACTTTGTTCAGTTTTTAGAGAGGCGTCTTATTAACGTAACATAGACATCTTATGTTTACGAACGCTGCTCAATATAACCATCAAATATGGCCAACAGKCAACAATAGACCTACATAATATGATACCTACTCATCACATTTTTCATGATAGATTCGTTATTTCTTACTCGTTATGTATTTCCGAATTCATTATTGGAAATCCGTTTTTCACTGAAATTTTATGGTTATCTACTCTGCAGTAATTGAGTAATATATTAATACTCGATATTATTCAAATAGAAAATAGTTTAATGTCGTCTTAGGACACGCGTGCCTTTATTTAGATACATTTTAATATAAACACGACCCGCGACGTTCCATTTTCTTATTTATCATCTTGAATATATAAATATAGAGAGAGATTCATTCACTAAATATACTATCATTCCTTTTATCCTTCAACAATGTATTCTTTTTTAAATCCTTATTTTTAGAAATTCTGAAAGAACATAATATTTTTTATTTTATTATGTTAGATGTGTCTTGTGCTAGAACAAACTTTTTTTCAACCAAGACCTATATTTTTAATATACATTTTTAATTGATTTTATTGTATATTTTGATTTATTTAAACCGAATTTCAAAAAGTAATTCCTGAATTTTTATTTACTAATCATTATATTTTAAGGATAATAATATAGTCCTAAATATATTTAAAATATATTTATATATAATGTTTATTATAGATCATAGTTATTGTTAATAATTATAAGATTTTTGTAGAATATTACTCGTATTGATAAAAATAATTGTCCACCCCTTATCTTTTAAACTTATCATTTAGTATTATCGTTTTTATAGTACCTAATATTTAATAGCTTATGTACTATTTCTTTGAATTTCGATTTAAATTAATCAACATTTAAAATAATTTAAGCTAGACAATATTCATGGAAAATGTTGGTTTGTACAATTCGAGGATACTCGTATTTCATAAACTCTAAAAAAGTATTAAGTATACTAAAATATTCTTGTAAAGACCAAAAATCTGAATAAAAAAAATATATATCCGTCATTAAAGGAAAAATGGTGGTAGCATAATTGGTGAAACGCTCTGTATAATTTCTTTTCTCGTTTTTACGATTTAAGCACTTCACTGCACCAGTATTTTTAATTTGAGTATTTATAGGCTTATAGCCATTATTATAGACATTGACAAGAAACGGAGAAAAGAGATGGAAATATAGTATATAATCACAAATTAAAAACGTTCAGACCCTGTATTTTATTTTTGTTTTGTTTTCAATTTTTCACTCGCACGAGTGTCTATCTTATACTTTTCTCTTCAACAAGCGTTAAATCACACTTCAATGATTCCATAATGTGTATAGTATACTATAGTATACTATAGTATACTATACCGTAGTTACAACAACAATATAACAAGAATAATAATCTATGCTTGGGAAATTGTGCATATGATGTAGGTACATTTCAAGTGTGATTCGATAGAAGTACATTACCTATTAGTGTTGATGACAAACATTTAAAGTGCCCATTATTGTATTTCGAGTACTTTTAAATGTGGAGCGTATTATATTTGTATGTATAAATTTGATTTTAAGAAAATTTTTTTTTTTGATCTTATGCCCGGCGACTAAGGCCATTAGCTGTTTAGGTTATGGACTGAGTAGAGGTGTGGTTTTGGTACGGTAGGTAATAAACACGTGTATGTGTTGAAATTTTTTTAACTTCCATGAACCCGAGTGGTCACCTATCTGGGAGCTAGTAGCTGTGGCTATTACTTATTCCCAATCGCATTCCGCGATTGGTAGCAGCCAACGCGTCACGCCAAGCAACCACTAAAAAAAATTGTTAAAATGTATTTATTTATTTCTTGTAAAAGTAGTTGTAGTTGCAGACATAATAATAAACTTTGAAATTCTAAGCGCAATTTAGAAGGGACACAATCATACAATTTCAGTTGTTTTCGTTAATATTTAATGTTAAGTTAAAAATTATTTTACTTGTACAGTAAAAACGAAAAACAAATTAGCCATTTTTTACACAGCGTATTTACATAATTTGTATTGTATTTTTATAATTGTGCATAACAATAATCTAAGAATTTATAATAATATATTTCATGAGCATTGCTGATGAGGAATATGATTCTAATAATTTATGTAATATGTGTGTATTGTTATATTTATATGTTTATTATGTTATGCTACCATACAGAAAAGAAATTATTTTAATTACATTTTTTTTAATTGTTAAGTATTATATTTTAATTCATGGGTCATCTTACAGACGGCAGCTAGGTATGTATTATTGTTTTGTTATTTTGGAAGCTAATAAAGAACGTCTGTTTTCTGGGGAAAAAAATAAATAAAATAGGTACACAATGGGTATATATTATATACAAAATATTTTAAAAATGTTTTTTCACGATTAACACTAAAAGTATATTATAATATTCTATAATATATTAAATATTTTCCAAAACCAAAGTAATCGACGACACAATATATGTATAAATATGTTTATATTTTTTAATATTATCATGGACGTATAGACCATATATTATATTATTAATTTAGGTACTGGCCATTTTATAAAGGTACGTTATATTATATTTTAAACATAATATGCATCTGCATAAATAACACGTATGTTCTTAGGAAGTTCTAAAAAAAAAAATAGGTATATATTATTATGAATTACACATTAAATGTTTACCTTCTAGAGAGCCCCCATTCCGCGCATACCCATCCAATACCGTACGTGAAATCCCCGGAGAAAAATATGATTGATGTGCCCGACTCGACGTCCCTAAATAATTTAAAATATATCTGAATTAATACTATACTGGCCCACGACACCACGTGTATATATTATCCAGCCAACCTGTACCTTTATTCAGGTATAAGAACATTTTCTCAAAATCGCAATGCTCCAAGGTGTATATGATAAATTTGTATATAAAATGGGAATACCGATAAACCACATAGGTTGGAAGATTGCCGACTCCAGGGATGTTTTTCGTATTTCTGGAAAACCGAACACTGTGGCATTGAAATGGAGACATGTGAGATCTCGAGACACTGGGAGAGTGAAAAAAATCAGGAAATCTTTATAGCATCCCAGAGGGTTAACTCCATCCACACTCCCCCACTTACTATAGGGTGTATGTATTGTATATTTGTGATGGCCAAACAATATCTATACATAGATAGAGAGTATATGATGTGTGTGTGTGAGAGAGAGAGATCAATAATTTGTAGGTTTTGCGTTTTTAAAATAAATCATAACTTACATTTGAAGTAYTAAGAACACTTAATTTTTGTTAAGAAGTTAAAATTTACGAGTTATAAAAATACATAAAAACACAAAAGTAAATTTAGACGAGTAGGGTATGGTGTAGCGAAAATCCATTGTAGGGTTCTCCGTCACTCCACCACAATTCTTGTCTAAACTAAATATTACAATATTTATTCGATGATTTTAAGTTTTGTTTCAGAATATAAAATTTAAAAAAAGAATAAACACACTTATGATGAAAAAGTTGAAGATTTTTGAAATTTCATAGTTAGAATTATATTATTATTTTAGTACTTCAAATGATATTAAAAAAAAAAGAACACTATTATTGTCTGAGAAAATGGGTCTTACGTAAAACCAACCCAACCTGTTCAATAATATTTATCTATAATAAGGGGTATGGTCCTAATCATTGACATAAATATATATATGAAAGATTTCCATTTTAAAATTCGACTCGCAACCAGATATACATTAGTATACATGCCGTTATTAAAAACGAAAACCTACTTTTATTCCAAAAAACTGAGAGACGGTTTATTTTTTGGTTCGATGAGAAATATAATTATACGTGAGTATATTATATATATATATATATTAAGACGGTGCGTATGGCCGTCGACCGTTTACAAACAATATTCTACGTAAATATTAAAATAATTTAATAATTATACATAATAATAAAATATTAATATTATACCGTAAATCATTATTGTAATAACAGAAAAAAATTGTACGTCTATATTGTAAATATAATATTTTATATTATACTAATAGTAGAAAGAAATAATACAATAATTACGAATAATGAGATACTGATAAAATTGCGTAAGGGTTAAAAGTTGTTGTATATGTGTGTTGTTATACGTATATATATATATATATATATATATATATATATATATGTAAATTCATAATATATAATAAATTTTTTGACGTTAGAATATGTATTATCATTCAATTCTATCATCTGCACCTCTACCACGAGAGTTCTGGCCAATCACCAATGTATAAATAATAATAATAATTAAAAAAAAAACTGCATAGGTAATATATAATATTATTTGGTGACTAGAGCTGAATATTAAATATAATATATTTATTTAAATTTTTTAGTGGACATCAGCGGCTCGCACATTCATACATGCATGAAGGGATTAATTATTTTGATTGAAAAAAGAGAGAATGAATAAAATAGTCATAATAATAATAAAAAAATGTAATAGTTGTTATATAGCCCGTCCTCCTATAGGTCAGCGTGCGATCGTATCGCGTCTGTATGTGATCAGTCTGATCGGTGATCCGTAAAAGCGCCTCTTCTCGGGGTGCTAATACACGCGTTTCACAAATAATATATATATATAATATATATATATATATATATACACACATATACACACATGCACACACACACACATATATATATATATATACGTATATAATGTATACAATTTTAACGTGTATATACATATAAATATGTTTTAGTTTTATAAATTAAAATATTATTTCATACATTTTTGGATTTTTTTTTTAATTATAGTTTTTTTTTTAAATATATTTTTTTTTTTTATTCATCTTCGTCGTCGTTTTCGTCGTCTTCCTCGTGTCTAGGTCACCGTACAGATTTCTAAACAAAAAAATATAACCAAAATGTCAATTTAATTATTAAGTTTAACATTTTCTATTTTAACAATTAGTTCTTTATGGCCGTCATGGTCCAGGCAATAATAGAACAGAAAAGCACTGTGTAAGATATCACTAACAAGTGTTATACCAGTACACTAAATGTTCGAAACAAAACCGTAGTGAATAGTCACTCGTCGAACCATCGCTGGGACGCAACATGATAAGAAACATTGTTATTTGATGATATGTATATCATTATGTTTGGTTTAATATAATAAATTAACAATTGAAAGGAACGTCATAGTTGGTTAATAATAATTTCAATCAATATGTTTTTAACTACATTAAATTATTAATAGTTTCAATAGCTAACATTTTACACATGACTATACATATTGGGGCGTTCAGAAATTTTCTTGCGTAGAGTGAGTTCGGCTGTCAATCATTTATTCGCTATAGTATAATACTAGAATAATTCTGGTATAATATTATTGTCTTTAATAGTACTTGCACATAATATCTATAGTATGTATCACGATGATTTTTAATGTGACTTTGTAGTGAAAAATGAAAATGTTGTCTCACAAATGTGATACCCCAACCTATTCATCATCGAAGTGACATAACGATTATAAAGATATAAAAACATATTGTATACTCACGTCTAAAAGACCATTTCGGATAATGTGATGCGGCAAGTAGAGAGTGCAACGCCACTGTCGCTGGACCCAGACTGCACGCTGCCCGTGTCGCTCACCCATCCGGTCACGTCCACTTCGTCTGTTGAACAAAATATAAATTAAATAATTAAAATATGTTATATTGCTATCTATTGCTATTGCTATTTGTATAATATGATATGATATAAAATTAACATAGTAAAATATATACTATATAGTATACTTTAAAGGTATTATTCAAAGGTGGAGGTAGTTGTGGTGTATGGAAGATTTTAAATATCATTTCGTGTAAGGCTATATAATTTTATATATTAATAAATTCAAGCAAGTTTTTACTGGCTGGTAATCGATATAATCACAATAATACCAAATTCACTAGTCAGAATAGTGCAATAATGTATGCAAATAATAAGATTTGTATGAACATAAAAATATTATACAAAATGTTTTGATGTGAGTGGTATTCAGTTTTTTAGGTATATAAATTATACTGTATAATATTGGTAAATCACTCTTTTAGAATAATATATATACATATGAATATCATAAATGCATAACCATAGTTAACAACTAAGACATTAGTTATTAGAACATAATATTTCGTTTCTAATTCGTCCATGCATGTACTTAGTTCATATTAATGCATATTTCCAATACTTAAAATATTTTTAAACCAAACCACATACTGAAATTCTAAAATTGTATTGTGTCATATAAGTATAATAATTTTAATTACGCTAAATTTAAGGTTCAATAACACAATAATAATAACAAAAGAAGTCATGTAAACCATTGTAGGCTAATAAACATTTGTACTTGAAGCCTTTAATTAATAATAAAAAAAAAATAATAACAAAAGAAAGTAAATTTTATTTAAAATTTAAAATTTAAGTTTAAAAATATGAAAATATAATATAGTTGGTATTTTAGAATAATGATTAGGACATTGCGCCAAATTCCGCAGTTTAAAGATAACAAATTTTAGTCTAGGTATAATTTATTATATGAGACTATAAAAATAAAAATTGACAACTGCGAATCAGATACACTTATAACTTATAGATGGGACCTAAAACAGTCGGATAACCTATATTTGTTCCGTATAAGTTCAAGCGATTAACCTTCTTTAATTTATTGTTACCTAGACGTTAAGCCTCACTTGCGAGTGGTAATTTTAGTGGATATCCATTAATAAATAATACGGTAAAGGGCGTTAGAAACAAACTGCTTCCGACGACGGTGTATATGGCATCACTGCTGAAACATCTAGAGAGGAGTTCAGTTCAGGTCGATTTATTGGTTAAAAGGATCAACTACCGGTCGAGTAGATGGGTGTTAGACACTGGCGGAGGGACGTTGATTTATTACCGATGCAATGGGTGATGTCGTCGTAGTCGTCCTCGAGAGAATAAATCTCTTCTCGTTGGTATTAATTGAATTCGTTCGGGTCACTCGGTGGTCACTACACCGCCGTTTGACGCTCAATCCTTTCTACTTGCCGCCACATTCGGTTTCTCATTTGTACGTTTATCTGCAGTCTGAGGGCAAGTCTCTTCGTCCGTCTCACTCCTTCTCTGTATCTGCCTCGTTTGTTTTGGTACAGCTGTATTATATCATGTGTGTGAGTGTGTGTGAGTATGTGTTTGTAGTACCACGTTATGTTGGGGAGGTGGTTGGAGATGACGGTGGTGGTGAATTATTAACACGAGCGGAGAATCGGCAACGTTGCCGATCCGTCGTAAATCATACACCAAAATTACGGCGGTGGTTAGGGAGCGAGAAAAAAATATATAAAAATAATAATAATGACGATTATGACGACTGCAGCAGCAGTGTATATATATATATATATATATATATATATATATATACTTCATACATGTGCGTATAATAAAAGCGGCAACGTTACACGACAAATACACAAACACACAAAGACACACATACGCGCAGAAATGTATATACAAAGTCGCGTGCTGCGAAATTCATTTCGGGGTGGGTTCCGTAAATAATGCGCATAGTTTTTAAACGCTATAAATTACACAGGGACCAAACCACTAACGCCGCTGCCACTGTTGTCGTCGTCGTCTCCGTCGTCTCCGTCGTTGTTATAAGGCCCGTTTTGATTTCCGGCGTGCAAAAACCCCTCCCGCCGCAGTCGCTTCACCGGCACCGGTTTTGATTTATACCGGTGTTTTATTTTTTTTTTCCGTCTTCCGCTACCTCCGACACCACACCATCCATCGGTGGATTCTCGGTGTTTGCCCTCACACGCCACCACTCTCCGCAGCACAACCATCCTTGCACCGCCTATCGTGGTTTTCCGGTGGGAGGTGCGACGCGCCAAAACGTATTTCTTCGGATTTTACGATTTATGTCGAAGAGCGTATATACATACATACATACATAATGCTATATATTATATTATACACGAAGCTTTTTCTAAATATTAATACCGTGCAGTATGTATAATATACTGTTATTTTTGGCGTCGTAGTTTTTCTTAACGAACTGTGTCTCGTGGTGCAGTAACCGGGTAGAAACCACACGTCATCGTCACCACACGTGATTTTGTCTCTCGAACGAAATGAATGATAATAATAGTAATAATAATATAATACATTATAATATACGAATGAATAGATGTATATTGTATATAAATATTGGTTCGTTTGTTGTATTTCCTCAATGCTGTTGAAAATAAACTCAATACAATTCCAAGAATTTCACAAAACATATACACTTATGTATATTCGGGTATCGTGATCACATGGTCAATAAATCTTTTGAAATGTAACGCGTAGATATGCACCAGTCTTTAAATTTCCTGTTGACTATCGGTATAATAAATAAATGGCATACTAAAGATTTATACGTTGAAAAACCTTTATATGGGTAACATACTGTGCGCACTATAATTCGTTTGTACATTATAGCAAGACACGATCGTATTTGCTGTTATAATCAAAAATTTTGACTTAAAATCATGTTATTTGTTATTTTGGCACTGTGCGTAATCGTATAACCAAAAAGATAAGACACGTGCAATCGTACTCCACCGATAAAAATTCTTTAAAATGCATAAACAACAAAATGTCAATATAGGTATACATATTGTAAATACCAGAATAAATTACACTTTATTGTTATTTGTTTAATATCATTTCTTTTTGCATTTTATAGAAATAATATATTTTTGTAATATTCAATAATTTTAGATTCTGAGCGAAATGTAATGTATTGGTTTTTCAATGATGGTTATTTCTTTTTCTTTTTTTTTATTCTGTAAACACTTTTTCTCCCTCTAAACTTGCTCAAAAGTATCAAKTGTAGCATCTTTTCTGAAMGGTAATGTTCTTGAGCTGGTACTTTAAACATGTCATTTTTCGATTTTCGAAACGGTACTCAAAATAAAAGCAGTTAAAGGAGAAAAAGTACGATTTCACGGTTTTATAATATTAAATAATTACAGATGACGTTTTCTACCAGAAATATTGTTTCAAATGAAAAATAAATGACAATAGATCTTTTTCATTGTATTTCGGATTGTTTTCCTTATGGTTTAAAGTTCTGAAAAGTTCAGCCATTTTTGAGTTATTTATAGAATTTTAATTTTGGGAATTTTTTGTTGTAATTTGGTTAAAAACATTCGTTAAAACTTGAAATTTGGGTTGTTTACTTATATTAGCCTTACTTAGACATGGTAAAATCTTCAAAACATTTGAGCGACTTTTTCTTTTTAAATCTAAGATTTGAAAATTTTGAATTAACTATAATATATCCTAGACAGATAAACCGTCTCCGCTTAGAATCGTTTTTTTTTATACAATGATATAGCATCATTGGATTAAAATTTAATTCTATTCATTACAGTAACTCACTTGTAACCTACTGTACAGCAGAGTGACATCCACGACTTATCTACTTATTTTTTATACCTATGATATTACATTGGGTTAATAAATTTGTGAACGTACAAAATTAACAAATCTTATTGCAATGACCGTGTTACAGTGTAACAGTACCTATATAGTTGTCTTGCAGAATGCCATTATATTCTTTTAATCAAGGTCAAAATTATTTTTATCTTCAGACATTGTCCACCATAATTTAATTTCAGGCGATGTTCCGGACAACAATAAAACATGTTATACAATATACGTAGCAGGACGATCACCACGTGGTGCAACTATTAAACCATGTGCATTGTGCATATTCACACAGACATACATACGTAATGTTCATTGTATATATTATGTATTATGTATGTATATTGTATATATATGGATATAGGGTTAGGGTCACCGGAGCACTAAAACTTTTCTTATTTCCTCATGAGAAAGGTGGCGGAAGCGTGAGAGTGAGGGGTGGGAGTATTTTATGGTGTGGTGGTGTCGACGGTGCATGAGGATATTTTACAAAGCAGCGGTGTGCGTGGTTATACCGTCCAAATTACTGGGGAACGATTCAAACCAACGACGTCGGACGTATTTCCGTCCGCAGACCCATTCGACCGGTTAATGGAACGGAAAATTGAGCACGCGGAAAAAAAAAACTTATATATATATAACTATTGACGAAATTCGCGTTGAAAACGAGATGCCACCGCGGCCACCACCTTTCTTCACCTGCCACGCGTTTTCTCGTCTTGTTTTATTTCATCGAATTTTCTTTATCTGCGTCCAGAGGGCTCAAAACTAATAACGTAGTAAACCGCCAGGGTCTGCTATATCTCTCTCTCTCTCTCTCTYTATTCTTTGTCTTCCACTACCTTTCTAATACGTCATTATATCCGTCCAAATCTCCCGCACCACCCATCACGGAAGTTGTAAAATACGTTGAAAATGTTTTATCGAAAATATTTCACCTAAATATTATATACATATTATATAGTATGATTTTTTTTTTCATCATGATTAATGCGATATCCTTATCCAGTCAGTATATGATTTGACGGCATTGTATTCTACATTGTTTTATCATAATTTATAAAAATATATTTTGTGATAAAATACAAATAATGTAAAACCGGCTTTATGATAAAAATAATTACCCGGTACGAATGGGATCATAGACAACAGAGGTTTCAATATATTTTTGCACGGCAGGCTGTTTACTATGCATCACGATCATAATATTACTATTTTACTTTATTATATTTATAACCATGCAAACGACGGTAATGTGTGTAAATCCATGAGAGATTGTCACCATACTTCTACACATAATTTAACTACATTTTTATTTCGTAGGATCAACAATAAAATTTCTATCATAATACCATAAATTATTATATTTGATATGTGGGTGGAAAATGGCCAAACAAAATATGTATTATAACCATTAACTACGCGCACCTAATATAATATTATAAAACTATACATGCAATATGTATTTCAATATATCAAATGTAATGAGAATTATCATGTAATACAGTAAAAATAAAGTTTTTTTCTTTAAAAAAAGGCTTAAGTTATACAGTTATACATTAGCATATGTAGGAAAACATCAGAAAATTTAAATTCAAAATGTACGAAGCAGAACTGTTGTATAAATACAATAGAATGAAACAGATCTATTACAATATCGTATTATACGACTACATAATATTATTGTATTACCATAAATTATATCCGAATGGCGCCTTACTTCAGTCGTACTGAAATTTTGAAATTAATTTTCGTTTTTTTTTAATATTGTAATATGTTGCTCAAGTCTCTTATGCAGAATGGCTTATAATTATTTCAAGAATTGTCTTTTTTCTGTGGAAACCTTTAAGCTGAATTTAATGACGTACACTTCCCGCCATTGCACACAATGGTGACGTAGATGACAAGGATGGTGGAATAAGGGATAGATGGAGTCGCGGAAGAGAAAAAATTGGCGGTCTCATCAATCCTCAGGCCTTTTAATTTCATTTCTGTCAGTTAGGGTTGGCAAAGGAAGAAAAACCGTCCAAGAGCATTATTTGCTGAGTTTATTAATGAAATTAACGAGAGCAAAAGCGCAGAGACGTGACCCCTGTGGCCTTTGAACGCCCCGGGTCTAAGATATTCACTCGAAAAACAATTTATTGCGGAGAAATTAGTTAATTTAAACGAGTTGAATATGCGTCTGCCACTACCACCACCACCCGACTGATGCAGGCGTTACCCTGCAGAACAACAGCGTGAGCGTGGAAGGACTGATAAAAAGCCGGTCCTAACTAATGAGGAATGCCGACTAACGAGCTACGAAGTGTCTTCTTTTCCTGCATCTGCACGTTTTAACTCGAATTATTTTTTTTTCTTAATTTGTTCGCGATGAAAGTTCTTATTTGATATTCGTATTTTGATGAGCAAATTTATAATAATATTTTCAATCTTTCAGATAACTCGTTTGGTTTTTTTTGGAGAAAAGTTGTTGGATGATTAATGACCAAATTTGGTTGGACATTTTTTGGAGAGATGTATACTAGCTACGATTATACATGAGCGAGTTTTTTTTTGTTGAAACGAATTGATCGAAATCGAATGAGCCGTAAGTTCTAATATCGGATAACTCAAAGCCTCCTTAATAAACTAACAAGGTCTAGTACTATAATTTTATTATAAAAAATAAAAAATTACAACACAGAGCAATTGTATAGTAACAGTACAAAAAAAGTAATTTTTTCTCACACGCATGAATCAATGATACATCCTGCTTTATGACAATTACCACATTATCGACATAGCTTATGAATGTCAAATAACAATTTTGGTAGATGTGTACTATCGCATTATTCCTACATACAATATATTATGATATAATTCGATTAGAACACGTTCAGTCACCTAACGGTCCCTCGTTGAAGGGTTTCATGCGATTAATTTAGGGAGCAAATGTTTAATATGGTTACAACAATCATACTATTGTTAGGGTAGCATTCATCTAGGTTGGATAAACCGTTGAAATCGGCCTCCACTATGAAATTCGTATCGCATCAATATAATGAATACATATAATGTGTAATAGACACTAACTCGTGTATTGAAGAGACGACCATCATAAATTAATTCACTTTCCATACAAATAATTCACTCGTATCAACATGGGGAATATACATTATGAGCTTAAAATATAATCTCTTGTGACGACATGTATATTCCTATATGCTGTCAGTGATTGATCAGAATTTGTATTGATCGACACAATCGACCAACGATAATTGTTTTTCAATCAACTTAAAAAAACCATTTAAAAACATGTCATACCCATTCCGGTCCACTGATTGAAAATATAAAACAACACTAAATGCGCCTGACAGCTACTTATAATAATTTAATTATATATTCGGAAATTATTTCGGAGCCATCCTACGGTTTATACGAGTATATTGTATAGGTACAGGTACGCAAAGAAAGTGGCGTTTGACTCAATGTATTGCAAATAATAGTTCACATGGTGGTCTAGCATGCATGTAGAGCGTGGGCAGGAAAATTATTTATATATAAATATATAAGACACTCACAAAACTATCTTAGTATTGATCCCTAATATTTATTTTTAATGGAATATCGTTATCTTAAACGTACGAAATATATTTAAGGCGTGTGGTAGGTATGTATTATTATAATGTGCGATGCGTGACACACCAGCTGGTATTAAATTATAATATATACGTAGGATGATATCGATTTGAAATGATACCACTAAATGATTTCGTCGTTCTTTCTGAGGTTTTTTGATAAATATATTAAGAAGGTATTTTCTATTTCATATTCTTAGAAAATTTTCTAAAATATCATATGGCTAAGGTTGATTACAAAATACTATGTTATGTACTATTATACAATAGTATAGGTTAAACTACGTTCAATAATAAACTTTATTTATTCGTGTAGCTCAATGCAAAATTTATATAAAAAATAATGATATGTGTATATGATGTTAAAGATTTTGAAATAAAAAAGTTACCATCAAAATATTTATCGTTTAATTTTTAATTTTTAAATTATWTAAAGTTAACTATAATTTCGTTWTTTATTATTTAAATAATAGATATACATATAATGGGAACAAAAACATTCCCACCATTAAAATTGTTTGTGGCAATCACCTTATACATACGAGTATATGTATACATACCTATATAAGGATTGTTTATAAGCACAGCTGTGCGCTATATAAGGGTTCGTGTGGTCATTACAAACTGCTTATGAACCCTGTGAGTATTAGAGAGATCGGTCGAAAAAACTTTTGAATAACGCTTATGAGAACGACACTCGAGTTTTGATATTACTGCACGGGTACGTCCGTTGGGTCGTGCGAAAAGGGTAATGCATAATTATGGGTTGAGTAGTATTGATATTATAAACACTTGGCACTAATTAGGGGACTAGCTTGCCCTTTCTTGCATTAACTTTCCCCTAAAAAACTCTTATTAGTTGGAAAATAACATTGATCGTGGATGCGCGGGGTGGTGGTCACTGAAACGAAAATCAATTCGTGTCATAGATCCCACATCCCCTCCCAAAATACGAATGAAGTTAATCAACATCGTCGTTATTGTTTGTATTATTATTATTTTAAATATAATATTAAAATACATTATGACGTACCTGATTCAGATATAGATGGAGACGAAGATGTGCTGCATGCGGACGAAGATGTCGATGCCCCGGACGCGGTCGTATAGCTACTTGACTCAGACACGGAACGACGTTTGTTCACGTTTAATGTGGTGGTCAACTGGTCCAGTCTCCGCCGCAGGTATCTATGCTCTCGGCTCAGGGTGTCCTTGTGCATAATGTGTTTTTTCTCCTGCGATTCCAAATTCTGTAACACACGCAAAAATACATCGTAATATTAATAACTATAGGTAAAATTATTATGGACGCTAAACGAGTACATCATCAAATTCTAAATCTATAAATAAAAATACATTTATGCTCAAGTTAAGTAACTAAACGCTAATAGACTCCTATATAATACGCGTTTGTTTTTCATAATATATTAGTGATAATTGTAATGTTGCATGACGTACAAGTACAGATTTATACGACATAATTCGTTAAACATTATTATAGATAGTCTAGAAGGGAGTGTGGGCGATAAAGAAAGGTTACGATTTCCGACGACAAACATAGTAGTCGTTTCTTCCCTTCGCCCTCAGTTACTCGGCTACGATACTCGTTTATAATTCATCATTGTCTCGGTGCAAAACAATCGCGGGTGGTGCATACAAAGTAGTCTTTTAAGACTCGGGTATAAGTCGTCTAATATTCGTTGCTTATTTTTTTATTTTATTACTTGCTCATAGTCTTTATTATGCGAACGATGTTTTTAGTATACACGTGCGTATTATATACACACACACACACACATATATATATATATATATATATATATATATATATATATATATATTATAATAAACGTAAAATGTTTATATTCTATTTGGTATTGCAGCCGTTCGTGCGCATACATTTATGCATGCAATTGCGCACGTGTGTGTGAACTGCTGCAGAGAGAAAGTTTAAAACGAATTTTTCGAGTGAGGAAAAAAGCTCTGTATACCAGTCTATGCTGAGAAAAGTTGTATACGCACAATATTTCGTAACTTATTACAAACCAAGCAAGAAATAATTAAACGATTGATAACAAAAGACTACCGAAAATACGTCTGTTGGATAGAAGCATAGCAGATACCAAGAAAATGAAACGAAAAATCTGACAACCACAACTAAAATAAAAATATTTATTGTTGAATTTAACTAACTCCATTGCTAGCTTAGAACTGATGTACACACACATATATATATATACCTCGTATTTACACTAAATAAACGTTTGTGCAATCAAAAAGCATTCTTAGGAGCTGTTAAATTAGTAACAAAATTAAAGTATTTACCATTGATGTCATAATTGATTAATACATGATCATAATAATACTATATTTAATGTTCTCATTTCTTACAAGAACACTGAGATCGTTTATGAGTGAAGTGTATACATATTAATCCAACATGTAAATACTAAATAGTAAATAATGTCAAGCATGGACTAACGAATAAGACCGTTTTATGACGTATTTTGGCTATCGGGGTTACAAGAGAGAGAGAGAGATAATTATTTATATCTATATGTAAGTTGGGAGAGAAGGATAAAGAGGGATAAAGAGTGATTGAGTGACAGTGAACGATAAAACGAGAGAAAGGAGGAATATAATACTTTGTCGTTGCTGAGAGCGCTATCATTTATAACACGGCGCTTTGAATAGGCAATATAGTACCATATCTGCGTGCGAGTCCTACTAGTAAAATAATATAATATTATTATGTTGAAACTATATTATATTATAAATTATAATATATACTAAAACTATATAAGTTTCGTTGTAATATAATATTTATTATTATAACGGCGACGCGTGATGACGTGACTGTATTAATTTGATTCATTCTAAAATGATATCTATGGACGCCGCATAATAATAATTAAGGGCATCTGACGTAGACATGAAGGCACGCGTGCTAGTGACGTTTTTAATTTTTAATTAATTCTTCACCACGTGAATTAAATAATAATATCATACTTAGCTTAAAGTATGCATAGTATGCGCAATGTGCATTGTTTCTTTACGTGTAATATATATATATATATATATATATAATCAGACGTGTCTTTGACTGATTGGCCGATCAACGAAGAGCCTAAACTATGATAGATAGAGCCTTTAACTTTTCATGGTACCTTCGTAACACCATGTAGAAGGTGTAAATGTTTTCATTGGATACTCGGAAAGATGAGGTAAAAACATGTATCAAGTCACCGTAATTACTTGACCTTGGTTAAAGAAACCAAATGCATGTTTAAGCTTAATTTTCTCAAAAACTACTGGTTGATTTTGAAAAAATTCTGAGACTGTTTTATCTCCAATTTAAAAAATATACCAAGTGTGGCATATCTAGGTCAAATGTTAACACAAAGAAAGGTTAAGTACATCGAAGTCAATTTGCACGTGAACTTAGGTACACTAAAACCGAAATACACCTGTATAGAGCTGTATTTTATATTCGTTCATTTTTCCCCAGGTGAAGTTGGATTATATATCTACTAATATTTATATATATATATATATATATATATGTGTGTGTTATTATTATTTGCGACGAATACATCATCCCGAGTAGCATCATGGGTGAGAAGCGAAGTGAATTTCCGTTAAAAACGTCGGAGAGAAAAAAGTTATTGCTTAATAAAATACGTCTGCAGCGGCAGTGGAAGTACTGGAGCGAGTGGATGAGCATGTGTGCTAGATGAAAATAACGATCCTGTGGTTGTAGAAAATGTCGCTTTTGTCGACTTCAAAGGACTCCGTGCAGTTCTATATATTTATATAATACGTATAATCTATATAATGGTTTTAAGGCCATTGTCGAGATGAGGTGGGGCGGGCAGTATCGATTGTTAGAATCGAGCACGGAAGAAAACGTACAGAGAAGTAGAAAAAAATTATCCCTTTACGGTGGTTTAACCCCGCAAAGTGTTTCGACATGTCCAGGGAGAGACAGAGAATGAGTCTTTATATTATATATAGTGATAAAGAGAGTGACTGAAAGAGCGGGCGGGACTATATTATACTTTACACCCCGAAGCCATATATCCACGACGATAAACCGTGTACGGGACACTCCTAAAATTGATAGCTCTCACAATCGCAGTGTGGATTTATATCTATAGATAGGTATATAAATGTGTAGCTCGGATGCTCTTGTACACGCGCGTGTATGTGTGTGTTAATTCGTTTCGTTCATATTCTATACGTAAGCGGATCTGGATTTTCACCAGAGAATTCGATCGTGCGAGCAAAAACGTTTCTCTATCTCGTCGCCGAGAATATCATCTTTCTATACCAATAGTTAAGGCAGGGGAGGGTACCGTTTTTCTACATTCACTACCTGACGTAGTTATATGCGGGAAGCTATCCCAGAAATAAATATCAGTGAGTATATTATATGGTATAACGCATCATATTCGGAATTACTATCCGTTAGTAAAATTGCAATTAATAATTATATTTTATTTTAGCATTCCGTTGGTGGATAAACGATGTAACCTTAGTAATACTTGGCGTGTTCATGAGGCATTTAATAAAAAATGTTACATAAACCATAATGGTAACAAACTTTTAAAACATGCGATATGTTGACACATTAAAAAAAAAATGAAGTAATAAATAAATGTCAAGCCTTGACAAAGGTATTACTGATTATACTATTACAAGCTCTAGCTGCTATGGCTATWTCTAAATATAAATATTTGTATTCATTACATCGTCATTCGTGTCAAACCATTGCATGCAGTAAGTTGTTAAGACACTACAAATTAAAGTAATCGTTTAAGAATGTAAAACCAAGCTTAGCAAACAAATACTTGACAGGATCAACCTGTATAAATGCAACTATATTGACAATCTATGGAAAATTTGTGTGAGCCATATGAGTCGAGATTACTCATATGCATACATTAATTGTTCTTCATTTAATTGTTACTCTACTATAATAACCTGACGAGCTGAGGCTAAAAGAATATTATGAAATAATGATATTAAATATGTCTTTCTTTTGTGTCTCATTATTGTCAAAGAGTAATAGTCAATGACAATTACGAAACATGGTTCTATTTAATTATTAACCTTTTCGTAGTAGTATATAATAATTAATATAATTATTGATAAAACTAAATTCTGAAGTTTCTAATAATTAAAAAAAAAAAAGATTGAGTGAGAAGAAAAAAATGATTGTAAATTGACGTTAATATTCAACTGCCACCAGCCGACGTCAGATTTTTCATTAAAAAACTCTTAAAAACTCGATAATGAACGTTTTTCATTTTCCAGGCGACTTCCATTCCCCACCGATTTCTCCCCTTTGATGATTTATTTTTCGAGCTTCAGTCGTTTGTTAGTCGCCGAGCTCGCGTTTTTCGCTGCCGCCACTGGCAGTAATTAATCGGCTGAGGCGACTGCAACGATTTGTTGTTTATGGTATGAATACAAATGTCTCACGACCACCGAGTATTGTTTTTCCGCTCCGGAAAAAAGACCCGGAACGTTACCGGCTTCGCGGGAAAMGAAAAAACTAAGTTTCGCTATTTTCGCATTAAAAAACCATAATAGTAATAATAAAACGATTACACCGTTCGTATATAATTTTCTTCCCATTGGTAAACAAATTAAAACCTAGCTACACGGTCATAATTTACGTGTGGTAATCGTAGTAATCGAGTTTGGAAATAAATCAAATAAAATATTTCTCCAACGTAGTTAAACGCGATTCTGATGGCCCACCTWATTTTAATGACTCAAAAATAAAAATTGAATTAGTTTCATGTATTATTATGCTATATAAAAAAATAAAGTAATACATTTTTATGCTAGATATTGTTTTATCAAAATTAAGTAAAAAATAGAATTCTCATTACACTATACACTCGCTAATAACGTTATCATGTTTTGATCATATAACTGCAAGAATAATATTATATTAAAACAATTACGGCAAATCCGTACGAATAATGCATATTTTAGCTAGAAGCGAGAAGTATCTCTTCACACCTCGTTAAAACTCGAATCAGACCTGGCAGATAACGCTAGCATGATGATAATAATAATAATAATATGGTAGCTATATACCTTCCTATTATTGTGTATACGACAAACAATAGTTTCTCGTGCTTGATACTGCCACATCTTTCTCATAAGCCCATCGCTGAAATCCTACATAGAATTTTGATTAGAGAACAACATATATATATATATTGTTCCAAAATAA